GGTAGGAAGCCAAGGGCAAGGGTGGGAGAGTGGGGGGGCAGGGAGAGGGGGAGGTGGGGGGCGGAGAAGGCGGCGAGGGCAGGGAGGGGAGAAACCAAGCATAGGGGGGCGAGAACGAGGGGCAGTGTGCGGATTGAGGAGGGCGGGAGTGGAGTGGGTCGGCGAGGGGAAGGAAGAGGCGTGCAGCAGAGGAGGGGAGGGGGGAGGAGAAGGTAAACGAGGGGAGCGCACGGCGGGGAGGAGCGAATTGGCGGGCGGTGGAAAACGGCGAGGGGGGCAGGGAGGGTCAAAGAGGCGGCAGGGAGCGGGCACGCGGAGGGTAGGGGCGGGGGGAGCGGATGGCATGAGGGGGCAGGGGGTGTGACTATGAAGGGGGACCCGGCAAGGGGTGTGTACCGGTCGGGGCACGGGGTTGACGTGGTACGATCATACCTCGGCTACTACTCCGGATCCATCAGAACTCCGAAGCTAAGCGCCGGTGGGCGAGAGCAGTTATTCATTAATACGGGAAGAGCAAATACAAGCCGAATAATGGTTTTCCAAGACTAGGAAATTTGACATAGCCTAAGCGCTATGAGGACGGTATATATATTTTGTAGGAAAAGGGGAAAGAAAGGAAAGGAAGGAAAGATGAAGGAGTAAGAAGAAGTGGTAGGTGAAAGGAAGAGGGTGGTAGGAAGAGAAGGGAAGGATAGAAGAAGGGAACAGAAGAGGGGAGGTGGGAAGAGAAAGAGGAGAGAGAGAAGAGACTAAGGAGAAGGAAGCACCAAAGGACCAAACACGGCAGCAACCCGCACGACCGCACGGGCAGCAGCGTTTCAAGCACAGCCACTATTGTTTTTTACACATATGCATCATATATATCCTGCATATCAGCCACACTCTCGAAGCACCCTGTGAGCGTGGTGCCAAGTTCCCTGCCCGCACCCAGTGGGACTGGTGCGGGCATCCACCCGTCGTCGGACCTCCCTAACTGCCGCAACCGCATGCTGGATCATGCATTGAGCCTGCGCGCGCTGCAGTGCAACGGAGAGGCGTGTAGTGAGTCCTGCCTCAAATATCCGTGCCGATGCCGTCATCCCCCCCACCTCTATCCCTCCCTCCGCTGTGCTATCCTCTTTGCGCAGAGCCCCAGAAACTGACCGCAGCGGCTCACTCAGAAGGCCAAAGGTCTCCGCCACGCACAGCGTAAAAGTGTGGTGCCGGCTGCAGCCCCTCTAAGTGCGGCCCCCAGTGACGCAGCTTCTCCTGCACCCGCCTAGCTGCTGCCACTCCAATCTGTGTGGGGGTCGCCCGTCTCAGCTGCACGTTCCCCTCCCGCTGTGGATCCGCTGATGGAGACATCCACAAGAACCATCAGACCCTGGCCAACGTCGCGGCAGGTGAGGTCTGGAATGCGGGAGGCGGTGCCTACACGGCCTGTGCGTCCGACTGGTCCCTGCTGTTGCGCTGGCTGCTACCACTGTCTGGTCCCTTGGTGCCCCCTCTCCGATCGTCTCTTCTCCCCCTCTTCCTCTCCTCCATCCACCTGTCCTCTTCCCCTCCCCCTCCCTACCCTCCCCCAAACCTCCCGACCCCCCTGCTCCATCCCCTGCTGCCTCTCTCACTCCCTGGGCCTCCCCTCCCAATCCGCCTGCCCCTCCTGTACCTCCGTCCGCTCTCTGCTGCTCCCGCCCCCTGCACCCGCCCCCGAGGCCGAACCTGGAAGCGCGGCGCCCTGGGCCTCGCGGCCTCCACTGGCTCTGCCTGCTGCTGCCTGTGCCGTCCCCCCCTCCCCGTCCTGGCCCGTCTGCTCCCCCTGCCGTCCCCTCTGCCCACCTGTCCCTCGCTCCACCTGACCCCGCAGCTGGTGCCGTCCCCACTGTCCCCCGCCACCCGGCTGTCCCGCCTCGCCTCTCCGCTCCCCCGGACACCTCAGCCCGTGTCCCCTCTCCCACCACTGGCTGTCCCCAGTAGTCTCGCTCGAGCCGCCTCCAACTGTGTGAACAGCGTAGAGTCCTCCACCTTTACCGCGAAGCCCGCCCGACCGCAAAGTCTCGAAGCATGTACTTCACCGTGTCGTGGATGGTAGTGGCGACCCCGTAACGCGGGCACCGAACCGCGTGATGAATGGCAACCGTCATGTCGTCAATCGCCTGTCCGCAGGAGCACTGACCTGCAAGGGCTAACTGGGGGATAGGGAGACCAAGACGAGAAGATGAAGCCGCCTGCCACAGCGCCTCCGGGATGCGCAGTGGGTCGGCGTACGGCACCGACGTCAACCACGCTCCTGCACCTCCGCCCTGAAGGGAAGTCAAACGGGCAAGGTGCAAGGGAGAGGTCGTGACGGGCACGCACGGCCTCCAAGGCATGGCGCCTCCAGAAGACGGCTCGCTCCTGCAAAAAGGGAATCGGGGGAGGCAGAAGCGCAAGAGGGCCAGGGGGGAAGGAGAGAGAGAACGTCAGGTGGGAGACCCTCTAGCGCCGTCTGCAGAGCCCGGTCGATCTGCTCTGGCTCACCTGAAGCGAAGCTCTGCCGAAACACCTCGCCACACGCAGGGAGAGAACAGAGAATGGGTGCACACTGCACCCAGGAGCACACGAAACTCACCGGGGCAATGCGCGCCATGCGACGAATGCCGAAACCCCCGAGACGGATGGGGAGGAAGATCTGGTCTAGGGCGGCCTCTCGGACGTCCTCCGCGACAAGCCCAGGTCCCTGAAGCTAAAAGCTGCTGAAAAGTCTCTCCCAGGCGTGCGTCCCACCGTGTAAAACTGGAGATCACTGCGGGCGAAGGAGGACGGTCCTCGACAGGTACTGCGGACGAGTGCTGACACACGCCGAAAGAAGGCGGGCAGCTGTCTGGGGCTGGCGCAACCTCGGAAGCCAAGGTAGCACCCGCCCCATCCTCTCGAGACGATCCGGGAGACTCTGCTCCACGAACGAAACGGTGCCTACCGGTACGCCTGTCCACGGTGAGCCCTCGGCGTGCGACCTCGATCCCTAGGCCCGTGAAAGCCTCCAGATCCCTGGACAGAAAAGGACTCTGTCTGGTAGACGAGGCACTTGTGCGGCTGGGCTGCAAGGCCCATCTCGCCCAAGCGCCTCACGATCTCGGCAAAAGTGGTGCAGCACCCTGTCTGGGGGACCTAGCACGTACGTGTCATCGGCGTACGACCAGAGCTGGACATCCCCCTCCGCCAGAACCGGCTCCTAAAGCAAGACGCTGTGTCAGAGCGTACAAGAAGGGGCTGAGAGGGTCTCCCTGGCGAGTGCCCCGCTCCGAGTGCATCGTGACCACTCCCGTGCCTGACCTGTAGTGGAGATCCGAGGGCGTCCCGTAGAAGAGGCCGATGAAGGGGAATCAGACACTGAAACTCCGGGCTGGCCTGCAGCGCCTGAAACATCCTGTCTCGGTGGAAAGAGTTAAAGGCATTCGCCACGTCTAGCTGCAGGACCACCCAGTCTGGGTGGTCAGCCAGAGCGCGGCGGACGCCTCTAACTACGACCTCTGTCCCGCACGTACCCCCACCCCAAACTGCTGTGATGCCAAGAAGACCCTCGCCATCTAGGTCACGTAGCTGGAGACAAACTGCCCGAGAAAGAATGCGGACCAAAACCTCGCCGATGGCAATCGTCCGAACATCCATGTTCGACTTCGCCAGAGCCACGAGGGTGGAAGGACGCTAGCAAGGAGCGCGCAGCTGGAGCGCAACGGCCTCGGAGCCACTGCTGGTACACGGCCAGGAGGAAATGGAGACTCTGAGGGAAAGCTAGGAAAGTGTCTCGCAGGTGCTCAGCGACCCAACCGGACGGTCCTCCCGAAGAGCCCCGCGGAGCTGTGAAAATCGCGCGGCGTAAGTGATCCACCGAGAGCACGAGAGGGGGACCCCTGGAAGCCAGACAGCCAAGCTGGGGTCGGCCTCTCCGCGTTGGGGTGCTTCGACTGTAGGCGCTGTATCGTCCCCTGTGTATCTGGGGCTGCCTCTCCGCGGACTCGAGAGCCGCGCACGCCCGTGAGGTCTCATTGCACACGCTGCCTGACGAAGGCAACGTGCAATGCGGCGCTCATCTACTGCAGAGGGATCGGTGGCGGTGCGTGACCGGTGACCTGTGCGCCGAGGAAGGGGGTGTGCGACGGCCTAGTGCATCTGAGACTAGCTCAGCCCACTCACCTCGACCAAAGCGGAGAGATGCGCGTTGCAATGGCAGCCGTGTGCGAGCGGTCGGGTGGCGTCGCTGGAACAAGGAAAAGAGTCGGCGCTGCAGCGAGGAGGAAGGTAGGGCCAGCAGCCTCCGGGTCCTGGGCAATGCAGACTAGGATCGCACTGAGGACGTCAAGATATCCTCCGCGGACCCTCTCCGGGACACGTCAGGAGAGGGCGTGTATGGATACGTCTCGGGCGGAGAAAGTACTCTGTCCAGTCCACCGAGTCGGAGCGTCTGCCACTGTGCGTCGGTGAACTGCATCCCGGTCGCACGGGGCTGTGAGAGGGAAGGGATGATCGAGGCGGTATCATGGGCAGCCTGCGCCCTGCGAGCCGCGTCCGCAGGATGGCAGAAGGGAATGTGGTGCTGGAGGCGCGCGTCGGTTTCGCGAGAGAGCTCCTGCAGGTGGGGCAACTCACGACCTGGTCGGGTGATGTCGCCGTGTCGGCGGGGGTCAATCGGGGCCGTGGCGTCGGAACTGGCTGTAGAGGGGACCCCGTGGGCGGCCTGAGCTCCGAGAGGATCGCCTGGGATGAGGGGAGGAGACGACTCACCAGCCCCGCGCGGGGGGGGGTGTCAGCGAAGATAGAGGTGGTATCGCACAGGATAGGGGCCGGGCCTCGTGCCGGTACCGGTGTTCGAAGCTGGGGAGGGGGGACGTGGAGGTGAGCCTGAAGTGTGTGCCGTGGTGTGCTCCTGCCCCTCGGCGGGGTGCGGTTCAAGTGACGGCTCTGCTACCCCAGGCGGAGGGGTCTCGGTAGGGGCGGATGCCTCATCCCTACTGCTGGTGACCTCCTGCGCCACGGGCTGAACGGGGGGAGGCGCCACCCCCGTCTAGGTGCGAGTGACACGGCCTCAGAACCCGGTCCGTCTCCATTGGGGTCGGGGTGACGCGCCTGGCTGAGTGGCGGGGGGGATAAAAGAAGGGACAGACCGGGTGACCTCCGCATACGTCCGGGTCTGGTCCTGTGGGACTGGAAGGGTGGGGGCAGCCGGAGAGCTGCTCAGGCGGTGTATCGCCAGCAAATCTGAAATGCCAGCCCTCACCTCCTCTGGGGTCTCGAAGACCCTGCCTGCCTGTAGGTGAGAGTAGGAGGGCTGGCAGGGTAGAGGGTGGAGTGGGGCGTGCTGGCTGAGCGGAGCTCGGGTGTGGACCCTGCCCTAGGAGGCCCCCTTGGCCCTCCCCAATCACCATGGGTTGCGGTAGGGGGTCGTCGACATGGAAGGGGTGGGAGGGATGGGAGGGGGAGTCGGTGGCGGTCTGCCATGGGCGCATCCCTCAACCCGACGGCCCTCCCTCCCAGTAGCGATCGCAGGCCGTCGCCACCTGGGAGGGGGACACAGCACGGGAGGGGCAGAATGGGGGTGAGTGGGCTGGTCCCGCTCCCATGGCCCTGTGGAGGTGCAGGAGCGGGGCGGGGAGTGTAGGTTTGGTGGTCGGGCTGTAGAGGTAGGGGCCTGGTAAGGGTTCAACGGGATGTGAGGTAGGGAGGGGCTCTTGGTGGGGGGAGGGAGGGAGGGGGGAGTACGTGGGCTGACCCTCTGCCTCCTCTGCCCCTGTTCTTCCGCCGGCGGCCAACCTGGTCGTCCGCGCCTGTTTGTGAAGGAAGGGGGGGCTGTGGGGCCAAAGGGGTGGGTGGAGGGAGGATGGGTGGTTCGCCAGGCGGGGGGTGCTCTGTGTGCATCTCCTCTCTCCTCGAAACATCCCCCTCCGTGGGAACAGATCGGGCAAGCTGTGTGTGGGGGGTGATGGCTGCCCAACGGGGCCACTCGTGGGGAACCCGGCCGGGAGAGGGGGGTTGGAGGTGGGGGTCGAGGGGCTGGGCCAGTGTGGAGGTTAGAGCGAGGTACAAACGGTGGGGGGAGAGAGATTTTGTGTGGGCTCTGTGGTGGCCTCGTCCTGTGGGCCCCTCTACCCGGGTGCCGCCGCTCCCATGAGCCTGGGGCGCAAGCCCTTGCGGGTGGGTCTCGGCTGCCTGGGGGGGGTGGATGTGGGGAGGGCAGCCTGTTGGGTGGGCTGTTGGGGGCTGTGCGGCGACTCGGGTGGTTTGGGTGCCTGTAGCGTGTGGGAGAGGGATTTGGCCGCAGAGATGCTTCAACCTCTGAGATGTGTGTACTACCGGGTGGGGGGGGGCCTGGTGGAGGAGGGGGTAGTGGGCCGGTAGGGGGTGGCCTGGGTGTTGGTAGGAAGTCGGGGAGCATGGCTCCTCTAGGAAGACCAGAGCCCTGGCTGCTCCACGTGGTGCTCTAAGGAGCCCCTGAGGGTGGGGGCAGAGGTGTGCTGCCCTTGGGGGTGAAGGAAGGAGTGAGGGAAGGGGCGGGGAGGGGTGAGAGGTGAGAGAAGGGGTGCCCTCGGGTGACTCTGCTCTTGTCGCACCCGCGTGCTCTCCCGGTGGACCGCCTGCAACCGTGGGGTCAGGCGTTGGGGACGGAGAGGGGGGCTGGCCATGGAGCAGCGTGGGGGTCGGGGAGCACGGCTCCGCTCAAGAAGGCCAGGGCCTTGGCTGCCCCCCTGGACACTACCGGGACCTGAGGGTGGGGGTGGGGAAGTGGTGCTCCTGGGGGTGGGTGGGCTGGAGGACGGGAGGTGAGGATGGGGGGCTCCCTCGCGCGGCTCTGTCCTCAAGGTCTCCCCCAGCCCCTCCATCGGTCCCTTCTGCTAGCATGGGGGGACGGGCATGGGGGGTAGAGGGGGAACCTCGACGTGAGGCTGCAGGGGGGCCGGGTCGGCCTCACCGTCAAGCGTGAGGTATTGGGACAGTGGCCCGTCAATGTGCATCACATCCTCTCCCTCATCCTCCTCTATCGCTATCACATCCCCCTTTTCAGTGCCCACCCCGGTCGGGACCCCACTCCCCTCTCCTTCCCCTCTCCTTCCCCTATGTCCCCCGAGCCCACCCCGCCTGCTGCCCGCTTTACTGCTAGCCCCGTTTGCAAGTCTCTGCCCGGCCCTGCCGGCCCTGCTGTGTGTTTCCCCGCGTTGTGCTGCGGCCCCTGCCGCCCCTACTGGCCGTGCTATGCCCTCCCTGCTGCTTCAGCCGCCAGCCTCACCTTTTGCCTTTGAGGCCCTGCTGTCCCCTCTCCCACTCTAGCCCCTGCCGTACCCTCTCTTGCTACAGCCGGGGCGGCACTCTCCTTCGTACCAGTCCCCGTTACCCCCTTCCCCGCTGCACCCGTAGCACCTCCCCCCATACCAGCCCCCACTGTGGCCTCTGTCCGCTCTGCTGCAGTCCTTGCAGCCTCGACTGCTGCAGTCTGTAAAACCTCGCCTACCTTAATCTGATCAGCCTCACCAGCCGCGATCCCTGCAGCCTTGCCCGCCGCGGTCCCTGCAGCCTCACGTGCTGCAGTCCTCGCAGCCTCACCCGCTGCAGTCCCTGCTGCCTCACCTGCTGCAGTCTGTGCAGCCTCACCTGCTAGAATCTGCTCAACCTCACATGCTGCGGCCTCTGCAGCCTCACCGGCTGCGGCTATTTCAGCCTCACCTGCTGCGCTCCCTGCGGCCTCACCTGCCCTGGTCCCGCCTGCAGCCTTATCCGCTGTGGTCCCTACCGCCTCACCTGCTGCAGTCCCTGCGGCCTCACCTGTTGCAGTCCCTGCGGCCTCACCAGCTGTAGACTGTGCAGCCTCACCTGCTAGAGTCTGCCCAACCTTACATGATGCAGCCCTTGCAGCCTCACCTGCTGCGTCCGCTGCAGCCTCACCTGCTGCGCTCCCTGCAGCCTCGCCTGCTGCGCTCCCTGCAGCCTCGCTTGCTGCGCTCCCTGCGGCCTCACCTGCTGCGCTCTCTGCAGCCTCACCTGCTTGCGCCCCCTACAGCCTCACCTGCTGCGCTCCCTGCAGCCTCACCTACTGCGCTCCCTGCGGCCTCACCTGCCATGGTCCCTCCTGCAGCCTCACCCGTTGTGATCCCTGCAGCCACACCTGCTGTGGTCTGTGCGGCCTCACCTGGTACGGTCCCTATAGCCTCCCTCTGCTGCGGTTCCCCCAGCCGACACAGTAGCCAGGTTCCGTGGCCCCTACTCCCTGCAAAACCTGTCTCCATGGCCTCTGCCCTTTGCCTGGCCAGAGTCACGGTCCCTGCCGCCCCTTCCCGTGCAGCCCCTGCCGCCCCTTTCCCGTGCAGCCGCTGCTTGCCCCTTCCCTTGCAGCCTCTGCTGCCCTTTCCTCTGCAGCCTCTGCTGCCCCTTCCCCCACAACCCCCATTGCCCCTTCCCGTGCAGCCTTTGCTGCCCCATCCTCTGCAGCCTCTGCTGCTCCTTCACACACAAACTCACTTACCCCTTCCCGTGCAGTGTCAGCTGCAAGTTCCCCCCTGGCTCTGCCCTCTCCCGCTTCTATGTGCTTGGGGGGTGCGGGTAGGATTAAGTGTTTTCACAAGTAATCTGGTTTGCGAATGGGAGGTAGCGAGTGAGTTGGAGGATCTCTCTACTGAGCATGCATGGGTGCCGCCCCCGCTGTCACCTGAAGGGGGGGTAGGCTGGGATGGGGCAGCGGGGGTAGGGCGCGGTTTTGAGCGTGCTGGCTCCTCCTCGTGTATTTCCTCCAGTGGGGCTTGGCGTTCCTCTGTTCCATCCTCTTCAAGGGTACGCTTCTGGCCCCTAGGGTCAGATTGTGTGAGTGTTTTCGCTTGGTCAGGTGTGTGTTGTTTCTTCCTGACTGTTGAAGTGGGGGGAGTGGGAGAGTAGGGGGTGGCTCGGCTGCGGGACCTCCCAGATCGCCGAGGGGCTCCCGGGTCTGCCTTTCCCCCACTCGCGGGGTGCTGGGGCATTGTTACAGAGGCAGCATGCCTGGCGGGTGGCGGTTGTGAGTTGCTGGAGTTGGCTCAAGAGGGCGTCAAAGGGGGAAGGAACTCCCTGGCAGAGGCCGGGGTGCGGGGGGTTAGCTTGGGGAAAGGGGAAAAGGGTGGGGAAAGCGGTGCGCAGTGGGTGGAAGAGAGGATAGAGGGGGCCTGACAGTTGGAGGGGATTGGGGCCCAAGGGGGGGGGCGGGCTGGGGGCTGGTTGAGAGGGGAAGTGTTGGCGGGCTGTAGTGGAGGTGGGAGGGCGGGGTGATGTAGCGGTGGGTGAGCAGGGTGTGGGACAGGTGGTGGGCCAGAGGTGGGGAGGGCAGGGCAGAATTCCACGGGAGGTGGGGGTGGGCAGGTGGAGCCAAGTGGGGAAGGAAGGGTGGGGAACAGAGAGGAAGGGGCAAAGGGTAGTGGGTAGTCGAGTTGGCGTGAGCCTGGTAGAGGGTAATGAGAAGGTTGGGAGGCGGGGGGTGAGAACGTGGGAGGGCAGAGAGGGCACCGAAAGGAGGCGCTGTGGTAAATGCAGAATAGGATGCGGGGCCCATCTCGCCCAAGCGCCTCACGATCTCGGCAAAGTGGTGCAGCACCCTGGCTGGGGGACCTAGCACGTACGTGTCATCGGCGTACGACCAGAGCTGGACATCCCCCTCCGCCAGAACCGGCTCCAAAGCAAGACGCTGTGTCAGAGCGTACAAGAAGGGGCTGAGAGGGTCTCCCTGGCGAGTGCCCCGCTCCGAGTGCATCGTGACCACTCCCGTGCCTGACCTGTAGTGGAGATCCGAGGGCGTCCCGTAGAAGAGGCCGATGAAGGGGATCAGACACTGAAACTCCGGGCTGGCCTGCAGCGCCTGGAACATCCTGTCTCGGTGGAAAGAGTTAAAGGCATTCGCCACGTCTAGCTGCAGGACCACCCAGTCTGGGTGGTCAGCCAGGGCGCGGCGGACGCCTCTAACTACGACCTCTGTCCCGCACATAACCCCCACCCCAAACTGCTGTGACGCCAAGAAGACCCTCGCCATCTGGTCACGTAGCTGGAGACAGACTGCACGAGAAAGAATGCGGACCAAAACCTCGCCGATGGCAATCGGCCGAACATCCATGTTCGACTTCGCCAGAGCCACGAGGGTGGAAGACGCTAGCAAGGAGCGTGCAGCTGGAGCGCAACGGCCTCGGAGCCACTGCTGGTACACGGCCAGGAGGAAATGGAGACTGTGAGGGAAAGCTAAGAAAGTGTCTCGCAGGTGCTCAGCGACCCAACCGGACGGTCCTCCCGAAGAGCCCCGCGGAGCTGTGAAAATCGCGCGGCGTAAGTGATCCACCGAGAGCACAAGAGGGGACCCCTGGAAGCCAGACAGCCAAGCTGGGGTCGGCCTCTCCGCGTTGGGGTGCTTCGACTGCAGGCGCTGTATCGTCCCCTGTGTATCTGGGGCTGCCTCCGCGGACTCGAGAGCCGCGCACGCCCGTGAGGTCTCATTGCACGCTGCCAGACGAAGGCAACGTGCAATGCGGCGCTCATCTGCTGTAGAGGGATCGGTGGCGGTGCGTGACCGGTAACCTGTGCGCCGAGGAAGGGGTGTGCGACGGCCTAGTGCATCTGAGACTAGCTCAGCCCACTCACCTCGACCAAAGCGGGAGATGCGCGCTGCAATGGCAGCCGTGTGCGAGCGGTCGGGTGGCGTCGCTGGAACAAGGAAAAGAGTCGGCGCTGCAGCGAGGAGGAAGGTAGGGCCAGCAGCCTCCGGGTCCTGGGCAATGCGGACTAGGATCGCACTGAGGACGTCAAGATATCCTCCGCGGACCCTCTCCGGGACACGTCGGAGAGGGCGTGTATGGATACGCTCGGGCGAGAAGTACTCTGTCCAGTCCACCGAGTCGAGTGTCTGCCACTGTGCGTCGGTGAACTGCATCCCGGTCGCACGGGGCTGTGAGAGGGAAGGGATGATCGAGGCGGTATCATGGGCAGCCTGCGCCCTGCGAGCCGCGTCCGCAGGATGGCAGAAGGGAATGTGGTGCTGGAGCGCGCGTCGGTTCGCGAGAGAGCTCCTGCAAGTGGGGCAACTCACGACCTGGTCGGGTGATGTCGCCGTGTCGGCGGGGTCAATCGGGGCCGTGGCGTCGGAACTGGCTGTAGAGGGGACCCCGTGGGCGGCCGGAGCTCCGAGAGGATCGCCTGGGATTAGGGGAGGAGACAGCTCACCAGCCCCGCGCGAGGGGGGGTGTCAGCGAAGATAGAGGTGGTGTCGCACAGGATAGGGCCGGGCCTCGTGCCGGTACCGGTGTCGAAGCTGGGGAGGGGGGACGTGGAGGTGAGCCTGAAGTGTGTGCCGTGGTGTGCTCCTGCCCCTCGGCGGGGTGCGGTTCAAGTGACGGCTCTGCTACCCCAGGCGGAGGGGTCTCGGTAGGGGCGGATGCTTCATCCCTACTGCTGGTGACCTCCTGCGCCACGGGCTGAACGGGGGGAGGCGTCACCCCGTCTAGGTGCGAGTGACACGGCCTTAGAACCCGGTCCGTCTCCATTGGGGTCGGGAGTGACGCGCCTAGCTGAGTGGCGGGGGGGATAAAAGAAGGGACAGACCGGGTGACCTCCGCATACGTCCGGGTCCGGTCCTGTGGGACTGGAAGGGTGGGGGCAGCCGGAGAGCTGCTCAGGCGGTGTATCGCCAGCAAATCTGAAATGCCAGCCCTCACCTCCTCTGGGGTCTCGAAGACCTGCCTGCCTGTAGGTGAGAGTAGGAGGGCTGGCAGGGTAGAGGGTGGAGTGGGGCGTGCTGGCTGAGCGGAGCTCGGGTGTGGACCCTGCCCTAGAAGGCCCCCTTGGCCCTCCCCAATCACCATGGGTTGCGGTAGGGGGTCGTCGACATGGAAGGGGTGGGAGGGATGGGAGGGGGAGTCGGTGGCGTCTGCCATGGGCGCATCCCTCAACCCGACGGCCTCCCTCCCAGTAGCGATCGCGGCCGCCGCCACCTGGGAGGGGGACACAGCACGGGAGGGGCAGAATGGGGGTGAGTGGGCTGGACCGCTCCCATGGCCCTGTGGAGGTGCAGGAGCGGGGCGGGAGTGTAGGTTTGGTGGTCGGGCTATAGAGGTAGGGCCTGGTAAGGGTTCAACGGGATGTGAGGTAGGGAGGGGCTCTTGGTGGGGGAGGGAGGGAGGGGGGAGTACGTGGGCTGACCCTCTGCCCCTGTTCTTCCGCCGGCGGCCAACCTGGTTGTCCGCGCCTGTTTGTGAAGGAAAGGGGGGCTGTGGGGCCAAAGGGGTGGGTGGAGGGAGGATGGGTGGTTCGCCAGGCGGGGGGTGCTCTGTGTGCATCCCCTCTCTCCTCGAAACATCCCCCTCCGTGGGAACAGATCGGGCAAGCTGTGTGTGGGGGGTGATGGCTGCCCAACGGGGCCACTCGTGGGGAACCCGGCCGGGAGAGGGGGTTGGAGGTGGGGGTCGAGGGGCTGGGCCAGTGTGGAGGTTAGAGCGAGGTACAAACGGTGGGGGGAGAGAGATTTGTGTGGGCCCTGTGGTGGCCTCTCCTGTGGGCCCCTCTACCCGGGTGCCGCCGCTCCCATGAGCCTGGGGCGCAAGCCCTTGCGGGTGGGTCTCGGCTGCCTGGGGGGGGTGGTGTGGGGAGGGCAGCCTGTTGGGTGGGCGTGTTGGGGCTGTGCGGCGACTCGGGTGGTTTGGGTGCCTGTAGCGTGTGGGAGAGGGATTTGGCCGCAGAAATGCTTCAACCTCCGAGATGTGTGTACTACCGGGTGGGGGGGGGGCCTGGTGGAGGAGGGGGTAGTGGGCCGGCAGGGGGTGGCTGGGTGTTGGTAGGAGTCGGGGAGCATGGCTCCTCTAGGAAGACCAGAGCCCTGGCTGCTCCACGTGGTGCTCTAAGGAGCCCCTGAGGGTGGGGGCAGAGGTGTGCTGCCCTTGGGGGTGAAGGAAGGAGTGAGGGAAGGGGCGGGGAGGGGTGAGGGGTGAGAGAAGGGGTGCCCTCGGGTGGCTCTGCTCTTGTCGCACCCGCGTGCTCTCCCGGTGGACCGCCTGCAACCGTGGGGTCAGGCGTTGGGGATGGAGAGGGGGGCTGGCCATGGAGCAGCGTGGGGGTCGGGGAGCACGGCTCCGCCAAGAAGGCCAGGGCCTTGGCTGCCCCCCTGGACACTACCGGGACCTGAGGGTGGGGGTGGGAAGTGGTGCTCCTGGGGGTGGGTGGGCTGGAGGACGGGAGGTGAGGATGGGGGCTCCCTCGCGCGGCTCTGTCCTCAAGGTCTCCCCCAGCCCCTCCATCGGTCCTTCTGCTAGCATGGGGACGGGCATGGGGGTAGAGGGGGAACCTCGACGTGAGGCTGCAGGGGGGCCGGGTCGGCCTCACCGTCAAGCGTGAGGTATTGGGCCAGTGGCCCGTCAATGTGCATCACATCCTCTCCCTCATCCTCCTCTATCGCTATCACATCCCCCTCTTCAGTGCCCACCCCGGTCGGGACCACACTCACCTCTCCTTCCCCTGTTGCCCCTATGTCCCCCGAGCCCACCCCGCCTGCTGCCGCTTTACTGCTAGCCCCTTTTGCAGTCCTTGCCGGCCCTGCCGGCCCTGCTGTGTGTTTCCCCGCGTTTGCTGCGGCCCCTGCCGCCCCTACTGGCCGTGCTATGGCCCTCCCTGCTGCTTCAGCTGCAGCCTCACCTTCTGCCTTTGAGGCCACTGCTGTCCCCTCTCCCACTCTAGCCCCTGCCGTACCCTCTCTTGCTACAGCCGGGGCGGCACTCTCCCTCGCACCAGTCCCCGTTACCCCCTTCCCCGCTGCACCCGTAGCACCTCCCCCTATACCAGCCCCCACTGTGGCCTCTGTCGCTCCTGCTGCAGTCCTTGCAGCCTCGACTGCTGCAGTCTGTAAAACCTCGCCTACCGTAATCTGCTCAGCCTCACCAGCCGCGATCCCTGCAGCCTTGCCTGCCGCGGTCCCTGCAGACTCACGTGCTGCAGTCCCTGCAGCCTCACCCGCTGCAGTCCCTGCGGCCTCACCTGCTGCAGTCTGTGCAGCCTCACCTGCTAGAATCTGCTCAACCTCACATGCTGCGGCCTCTGCAGCCTCACCTGCTGCGGCTATTTCAGCCTCACCTGCTGCGCTCCCTGCGGCCTCACCTGCCATGGTCCCGCCTGCAGCCTCATCCGCTGTGGTCCCTGCCGCCTCACCTGCTGCAGTCCCTGCGGCCTCACCTGTTGCAGTCCCTGCGACCTCACCAGCTGTAGACTGTGCAGCCTCACCTGCTAGAGTCTGCCCAACCTTACATGATGCAGCCCTCGCAGCCTCACCTGCTGCGTCCGCCGCAGTCTCACCTGCTGCGGCCCCTGCAGTCCCGCCTGCTGCGCTCCCTGCGGCCTCACCTGCTGCGCTCTCTGCAGCCTCACCTGCTGCGCCCCCTACAGCCTCACCTGCTGCGCTCCCTGCAGCCTCACCTACTGCGCTCCCTGCGGCCTCACCTGCCATGGTCCCTCGTGCAGCCTCACCCGTTGTGATCCCTGCAGCCACACCTGCTGTGGTCTGTGCGGCCTCACCTGGTGCGGGTCCCTATAGCCTCCTCTGCTGCGGTTCCCCCAGCCGACACAGCAGCAGGTTCCGTGGCCCCTACTCCTGCAAAACCTGTCTCCATGGCCTCTGCCCCTTGCCTGGCCAGAGGTCACGGTCCCTGCCGCCCCTTCCCGTGCAGCCCCTGCCGCCCTTTCCCGTGCAGCCGCTGCTGCCCCTTCCCTTGCAGCCTCTGCTGCCCTCTCCTCTGCAGCCTCTGCTGCCCCTTCCCCCACAACCCCCATTGCCCCTTCCCGTGCAGCCTTTGCTGCCCCATCCTCTGCAGCCTCTGCTGCTCCTTCACACACAAACTCACTTACCCCTTCCCGTGCAGTGTCAGCTGCAAGTTCCCCCCTGGCTCTGCCCTCTCCCGCTTCTATGTGCTTGGGGTGCGGGTAGGATTAAGTGTTTTCACAAGTAATCTGGTTTGCGAATGGGAGGTAGCGAGTGAGTTGGAGGATCTCTCTACTGAGCATGCATGGGTGCCGCCCCCGCTGTCACCTGAAGGGGGGGTAGGCTGGGATGGGGCAGCGGGGGTAGGGCGCGGTTTTGAGCGTGCTGGCTCCTCCTCGTGTATTTCCTCCAGTGGGGCTTGGCGTTCCTCTGTTCCATCCTCTTCAAAGGTACGCTTCTGGCCCCTAGGGTCAGATTGTGTGAGTGTTTTCGCTTGGTCAGGTGTGTGTTGTTTCTTCCTGACTGTTGAAGTGGGGGGAGTGGGAGAATAGGGGGTGGCTCGGCTGCGGGACCTCCCAGATCGCCGAGGGGCTCCCGGGTCTGCCTTTCCCCCACTCGCGGGGTGCTGGGGCATTGTTACAGAGGCAGCATGCCTGGCGGTGGCGGTGTGAGTTGCTGGAGTTGGCTCAAGAGGGCGTCAAAGGGGGAAGGAACTCCCTGGCAGAGGCCGGGGTGCGGGGGGGTTAGCTTGGGGAAAGGGGAAAAGGGTGGGGAAAGCGGTGCGCAGTGGGTGGAAGAGAGGGTAGAGGGGGCCTGACAGTTGGAGGGGATTGGGGCCCAAGGGGGGGGCGGGCTGGGGGCCGATTGAGAGGGGAAGTGTTGGCGGGCTGTAGTGGAGGTGGGGGGGCGGGGGTGATGTAGCGATGGGTGAGCAGGGTGTGGGGACAGGTGGTGGGCCGGAGGTGGGGAGGGCAGGGCAGAATTCCACGGGAGGTGGGGGTGGGCAGGTGGAGCCAAGTGGGAAAGGAAGGGTGGGGAACAGAGAGGAAGGGGCAAAGGGTAGTGGGTAGTCGAGTTGGCGTGAGCCTGGTAGCGGGTAATGAGAAGGTTGGGAGGCGGGGGGTGAGAACGTGGGAGGGCAGAGAGGGCACCGAAAGGAGGCGCTGTGGTAAATGCAGAATAGGATGCGGGGCCGGGAAACAGGGGACAGAGGGAATTGGGGAAACGATGAAGGGTGATAACTGCGGATGGGCGAGCCCCAGGGGGGAGGAAATATGGAGGGTGTTGGAGAAGGGGGAGACTGGGGGGGGTTGAGGTAGGGTGTTGGAGGGCACAAGGGGCAGGAACAGGGGGTGCAAAGGTTGGCTGGGGGAGGGAGAGGCGGTCTGGTGCCGCGGAAAGGCGGAGGGAGGTTGGGGACGGCACAGCCCAGGGAGCAAAAGCAAGGGGTGTAGACCTTGGCTGGGGGTAGGAACGGCGGTGTGGAGTTAGGAAGAGGTAGAGGGAGGCTGGGGTAGGTGGCTGGATTGCGCAGGGAGCAGGGGCAGGGGGTGTAGAGATTGGATGGGGGTGGGAAAGGCGGCGTGGTGCCAGGTGGCGGCAGTTGGGTCACCGAAGGGCCTGGCAGGGCGGGATGCAGAGGTGCAGCCCACGCTGGATGCGGAAGTAGCTGGGGGGGAAAGGGAGGCTGGAGGGGGAAGTACGGCTCGTAGAGGTGTGGGGGGCAGAGTGGGAGTGGGGAAGGCAGGAGGGGGGGTGGAGGAGGGACGTTGTGGACAGGGGAGTGGGGGAACATGCGGGTGATGATAGGGAGAAGGGGGAGGTGGTATGAAGTGGGCAAGGGTGACGCACGGGCAGAGCGCGGCGGTACTAAGGGCAGGAGACGGGAGGCTGGGGGGAGAAAAGCCTGCTTGGGGGCGTGGTGGGGGATAAGGGGAAAGGGGCGGTAATGCTGGTGGGCGAAAGGGGAGGGTGTGGTGCAGTATGATGAAACAGAATGGGGGGGTGGCGGGACTGGATGGGGCCCTGGAGGGTTGGGAGAACAAAGTGTAAGCTGCCTTTCTGATTTTTTTCTGGTTTTTTTCCGATTTATTTGAATAATTATTTTTTTTCTTTGAAGTTGTTTCCCCTTATTTCCTACGGTTTCCAGAGACAGGGCGGCCTCTGCTAGCTAAGCGCCGTTAGGGAAAGAGGTTAGGTGGCGGGGTGGCTAAAGCGCGCGTGTGAGGGGGAAAGGGGCGGTGTGAGCAGGAAGGTGAATATGTGGGTGGCGACGGGGTAAGATTACGACGTGTGGGTGGCATGCACGAGTGTGCGACGAGGCATGGCAGGGTGGGAGTGAGCAAAGGGGGAGTGGGGCAGCCTGTGTGCCCAACGTGGGCGGCTAAAACGCTCTAGGCAGAAAACGCGCTTCGGGAGGCGCGCAAGGGGAGGGCTGCTTAATCGCTACGAACGTAGCAATTTCGCCTCCCTCCGCGCTGCCTTTCCCTGGCGGTAAGCGCCCCGTGCGCGGTTCTGTCTACGTCGCGGCTAGATTGAACGGGCGGGGAAAATGAGTGCGTGACTAAACATGACAGGCGACGAGAAAGCGTGCTTGAAAACGCGCGGCTCTTCGAATTAGGGTTTCGATAAAGAAGGGCGCACTGAAAGGGAAGGAAGAATGCTAACTACGTGTGGAAGCTAAGCTCAGTGACTTCGAGAGAGGGAAACCGTGGGAAGAAAATCGGTCGTAGCTAATTGCTTCGAATAGAAAAGCCGTGGGCAGAAAAGAGCGGGGGGATAAGGGAGAGTGTCGAGAGAGGGGATGGGCGGGAACACCGTGTCTGGCGGAGTTGTGGTTGTGAGTCGCACGCGCTGTTACACTCCGCGGGCGAACTTCGCGTCAACGCCCCACCTCCCGTTACACCGGCTGCAGCGCGTCCGCAGCCTTCCCGCGATGGCGGGGTCGAACGAGCGGTTCCGTAACACCCCGCGAGTTCCGTTTCCGAGACTCCTGAGGGTCACGCGCAAAACTCGCGACCCCCGACCCGTCGGACTCGACAGTCGAAACTGGAAAACTAACCGTTGGAAACGCTTATAACTATAAGATAAACAACTATCACAATCACTTTGTCCTTAAGCAACTCGAAATAGTAGGTTTAGGAGGCTCCTTAGTAGGCAGCCATGGCTAGGTAAGCTAGGTCAAGGTAAGAGCGCGGGTGGGCGAGAGCAGTACTGGGCTGGGTGACCTCCCGGGAAGTCCTCGTGTTGTACCCATTTATGCCCCTTGCTCGGCACGTGCCGGGGGAGGGGCAAGCGGGAAAAAGAAAGGACGATTTCAGCGCGTCCGATTTTTTCATTTTCGTTTTTTTGCCCGAACAACGACCCAGCGGGGTGGGGGGGCCCCGGGGAGGCTTGCCCGTGCGAAGAAACGCCCCGTGCGCACCACCGTTGGGCGGTTGGAAGCCGCACACGGTCGCGGGGGTGGAGAGCGGAAACGGGCAGCCGGGGGAGGGTGGGGGCGGTTGGATGGGACTGGGGTGTACGGGGGGCAGGGGAGTTGAGGGGGCAAGGGGAGGGGCAGCAACGGGCAGGGGCTGGGCCAGCTGAGGGCACGGAAAAGGGGCGGGCAGAGGGTGAGCAGAGGGGCGAGCGATGCAAGGGAGGCACCATAGGGGGGGAAACCAGTTGCACGGAGGTGGGAGGTGAGGGGCGTGCGAGGGGGTGGGAAAGGGGCAGGGAGGGGCAGAATGGGAGGATGTGGGTGGGGGGTGGGGGAGGGGAGTGTGCGTGTGTGTGTGTGAGAAAGAGAGAGAGGGAAAGGGAGGGGGGGGAGAGAAGGGTGGGAGGGGGGCTGGTGGTGGGGATGGGCTGATGGTGGTAAGAGGGCAGCAGGGATGGGGAGAAGGGAGCGTAACGAGGGGAGAGCAAAGGGCAGGGGGGGAGGAAGGGAGGGGCAGGGAGGGAAGAGGCTGAACGTACAAAGGGGGGGAAACGAGGGGCATGGATGGTAGGAAACAAGGGCAGGGGTGCGGGAAATCAAGGGCAGGGAGGGGAGAAGCAATGGGTGAGGGGAAAACAAGGGAGGGGCAGAGGGGGTGGGCAGGGAGGGAAGAAACGTGGGGCAGGGAGGGGAGAAGCCAAAGACAGGGGCATGGGCAGGCGGGGGCAGGGAGGGAGCAGAGGAGAGGCACGGAGAAAGAAAGGGAGGCGCGGGGAGGGGAGAAACCGGGCGTGGGGGGGCGGAAAACGAGGGGCAGGGCGGGGAGGAGGGAGGGGCAGGGAGGGGAGAAGCTGAGCACACAGAGGGGGGAAAGGTGGGCAGGGAGGTAGGAAGCCAAGGGCAAGGGGGGGAGAGTGGGGGGGGCAGGGAGAGGGGGGAGGTGGGGGGCGGAGAAAGGCGGCGAGGGGCAGGGAGGGGAGAAACCAAGCATAGGGGGGCGAGATACGAGGGGCAGGGTGCGGATTGAGGAGGGGCAGGGAGTGGAGTGGGTCGGCGAGGGGAAGGAAGAGGCGTGCAGCAGAGGAGGGGAGGGGGGAGGAGAAGGTAAGCGAGGGGAGCGCACGGGCGGGGAGGAGCGAATGGCGGGCGGTGGGAAACGGCGAGGGGGGCAGGGAGGGTCAAAAGAGGCGGCAAGGGAGCGGGCACGCGGAGGGTAGGGGCGGGGGGAGCGGATGGCATGAGGGGGCAGGGGGTGTGACTATGAAGGGGGGGACCCGGGCAAGGGGTGTGTACGGTCGGGGCACGGGTTGACGTGGTACGATCATACCTCGGCTACTACGCCGGATCCCATCAGAACTCCGAAGCTAAGCACCGGTGGGCGAGAGCAGTACTGGGCTGGGTGACCTCCCGGGAAGTCCTCGTGTTGTACCCATTTATGCCCCTTGCTCGGCACGTGCCGGGGGAGGGGCAAGCGGGAAAAAGAAAGGACGATTTCAGCGCGTCCGATTTTTTTATTTCCGTTTTTTTGCCCGAACAACGACCCAGCGGGGTGGGGGACCCCAGGGGAGGCTTGCCCATGCGAAGAAACGCCCCGTGCGCACCACCGTTGGGCGGTTGGAAGCCGCACACGGTCGCAGGGGGTGGAGAGCGGAAACGGGCAGCCGGGGGAGGGTGGGGGGCGGTTGGATGGGACTGGGGTGTACGGGGGGGCAGGGGAGTTGAGGGGGCAAAGGGGAGGGGCAGCAACGGGCAGGGGCTGGGCCAGCTGGGGGCACGGAAAAGGGGCAGGCAAAGGGTGAGCACAGGGGCGAGCGATGCAAGGGAGGCACCATAGGGGGGAAACCAGTTGCACGGAGGTGGGAGGTGAGGGGCGTGCGAGGGGGTGGGAAAGGGGCAGGGAGGGGCAGAATGGGAGGATGTGGGTGGGGGGGTGGGGGAGGGGAGTGTGCGTGTGTGTGTGTGAGAAAGAGAGAGAGAGGGAAAGGGAGGGGGGAGAGAAGGATGGGAGGGGGGGCTGGTGGTGGGGATGGGCTGATGGTGGTAAGAGGGCAGCAGGGATGGGGAGAAGGGAGCGTAACGAGGGGAGAGCAAAGGGCAGGGGGGGAGGAAGGGAGGGGCAGGGAGGGAAGAGGCTGAACGTACAAAGGGGGGGAAATGAGGGGCATGGATGGTAGGAAACAAGGGCAGGGGTGCGGGAAATCAAGGGCAGGGAGGGGAGAAGCAATGGGTGAGGGGGAAAACAAGGGAGGGGCCGAGGGGGTGGGTAGGGAGGGAAGAAACGTGGGGCAGGGAGGGGAGAAGCCAAAGACAGGGGCATGGGCAGGCGCGGGCAGGGAGGGAGCAGAGGAGAGGCACGGAGAAAGAAAGGGAGGCGCGGGGAGGGGAGAAACCGGGCGTGGGGGGGGCGGAAAACGAGGGGCAGGGCGGGGAGGAGGGAGGGGCAGGGAGGGGAGAAGCTGAGCACACAGAGGGGGGAAAGGTGGGGCAGGGAGGTAGGAAGCCAAGGGCAAGGGGGGGAGAGTGGGGGGGCAGGGAGAGGGGGGAGGTGGGGGGCGGAGAAAGGCGGCGAGGGGCAGGGAGGGGAGAAACCAAGCATAGGGGGGCGAGATACGAGGGGCAGGGTGCGGATTGAGGAGGGGCAGGGAGTGGAGTGGGTCGGCGAGGGGAAGGAAGAGGCGTGCAGCAGAGGAGGGGAGGGGGGAGGAGAAGGTAAGCGAGGGGAGCGCACTGGCGGGGAGGAGCGAATGGCGGGCGGTGGGAAACGGCGAGCGGGGCAGGGAGGGTCAAAAGAGGCGGCAAGGGAGCGGGCACGCGGAGGGTAGGGGCGGGGGGAGCGGATGGCATGAGGGGGCAGGGGGTGTGACTATGAAGGGGGGGACCCGGGCAAGGGGTGTGTACCGGTCGGGGCACGGGGTTGACGTGGTACGATCATACCTCGGCTACTACGCCGGATCCCATCAGAACTCCGAAGCTAAGCGCCGGTGGGCGAGAGCAGTTATTCATTAATAAGGGAAGAGCAAATACAAGCCGAATATAATGGTTTTTCCAAGACTAGGAAATTTCGACATAGCCTTATCGCTATGAGGACGGTATATATATTTTGTAGGAAAAGGGGGAAAGAAAGGAAAGGAAGGAAAGATGAAGGAGTAAGAAGAAGTGGTAGGGAAAGGAAGAGGGTGGTAGGAAGAGAAGGGAAGGATAGAAGAAGGGAACAGAAAGAGGGAGGTGGGAAGAGAAGAGGAGAGAGGGAGAGAGACTAAGGAGGAGGAAGCACCAAAGGACCAAACACGGCAGCAACCCGCACGACCACACGGGCACAGCGTTTCAAGCACAGCCACTATTGTTTTTTACACATATGCATCATATATATACTGCATATCAGCCACACTCTCGAAGCACCCTGTGACGTGGTGCCAAGTTCCCTGCCCCGCACCCAGTGGGACTGGTGCGGGCATCCACCCGTCGTCGGACCTCCCTAACTGCCGCACCGCATGCTGGATCATGCATTGAGCCTGCGCGCGCTGCAGTGCAACGGAGAGGCGTTGTAGTGAGTCCTGCCTCAAATATCCGTGCCGATCCGTCATCCCCCCCACCTCTATCCCTCCTCCGCTGTGCTATCCTCTTTGCGCAGAGCCCAGAAACTGACGCAGCGGCTCACTCAGAAGGCCAAAGGTCTCCGCCACGCACGCGGTAAAAGTGTGGTGCCGGCTGCAGCCCCTCTAAGTGCGGCCCCCAGTGACGCAGCTTCTCCTGCACCCGCCTAGCTGCTGCCACTCCAATCTGTGTGGGGGTCGCCCGTCTCAGCTGCACGTTCCCCTCCCGCTGTGGATCCGCTATAGAGACATCCACAAGAACCATCAGACCCTGGCCAACGTCGCGGCAGGTGAGATCTGGAATGCGGGAGGCGGTGCCTACACGGCCTGTGCGTCCGACTGGTCCCTGCTGTTGCGCTGGCTGCTGCCCTGTCTGGTCCCTTGGTGCCCCTCTCCGATCGTCTCTCTCCCCCTCTCCTCTCCTCCATCCACCTGTCCTCTCCCCTCCCCCTCTCTACCCTCCCCCAAACCTCCCGACCCCCCTGCTCCATCCCCTGCTGCCTCTCTCACTCCCTGGCCCTCCCCTCCCAATCCCGCTGCCCCTCCTGTACCTCCGTCCGCTCACCTCCCGGAGGAGCAGTACTGGGCTGGGTGACCTCCCGGGGAGTCCTCGTGTTGTACCCATTTATGCCCCTTGCTCGGCACGTGCCGGGGGAGGGGCAAGCGGGAAAAAGAAAGGACGATTTCAGCGCGTCCGATTTTTTATATCCGTTTTTTTTGCACCGAACAACGACCCAGCGGGGTAGGGGGCCCCCGGGAGGCTTGCCCGTGCGAAGAAAACGCCCCGTGCGCACCACCGTTGGGCGGTTGGAAGCCGCACACGGTCGCGGGGGTGGAGAGCGGAAACGGGCAGCCGGGGGAGGGTGGGGGCGGTTGGATGGGACTGGGGTGTACGGGGGGCAGGGGAGTTGAGGGGGCAAGGGGAGGGGCAGCAACGGGCAGGGGCTGGGCCAGCTGAGGGCACGGAAAAGGGGCGGGCAGAGGGTGAGCAGAGGGGCGAGCGATGCAAGGGAGGCACCATAGGGGGGAAACCAGTTGCACGGAGGTGGGAGGTGAGGGGCGTGCGAGGGGGTGGGAAAGGGGCAGGGAGGGGCAGAATGGGAGGATGTGGGTGGGGGGGTGGGGGAGGGGAGTGTGCGTGTGTGTGTGTGAGAAAGAGAGAGAGGGAAAGGGAGGGGGGGAGAGAAGGGTGGGAGGGGGGCTGGTGGTGGGGATGGGCTGATGGTGGTAAGAGGGCAGCAGGGATGTGGAGAAGGGAGCGTAACGAGGGGAGAGCAAAGGGCAGGGGGGGAGGAAGGGAGGGGCAGGGAGGGAAGAGGCTGAACGTACAAAGGGGGGGAGACGAGGGGCATGGATGGTAGGAAACAAGGGCAGGGGTGCGGGAAATCAAGGGCAGGGAGGGGAGAAGAAATGGGTGAGGGGAAAACAAGGGAGGGGCAGAGGGGGTGGGCAGGGAGGGAAGAAACGTGGGGCAGGGAGGGGAGAAGCCAAAGACAGGGGCATGGGCAGGCGGGGGCAGGGAGGGAGCAGAGGAGAGGCACGGAGAAAGAAAGGGAGGCGCGGGGGTGGGAGAAACCGGGCGTGGGGGGGGCGGAAAACGAGGGGCAGGGCGGGGAGGAGGGAGGGGCAGGGAGGGGAGAAGCTGAGCACACAGAGGGGGGAAAGGTGGGGCAAGGAGGTAGGAAGCCAAGGGCAAGGGTGGGAGAGTGGGGGGGCAGGGAGAGGGGGGAGGTGGGGGGCGGAGAAAGGCGGCGAGGGGCAGGGAGGGGAGAAACCAAGCATAGGGGGGCGAGATACGAGGGGCAGGGTGCGGATTGAGGAGGGGCAGGGAGTGGAGTGGGTCGGCGAGGGGAAGGAAGAGGCGTGCAGCAGAGGAGGGGAGGGGGGAGGAGAAGGTAAACGAGGGGAGCGCACGGGCGGGGAGGAGCGAATGGCGGGCGGTGGGAAACGGCGAGGGGGGGCAGGGAGGGTCAAAAGAGGCGGCAAGGGAGCGGGCACGCGGAGGGTAGGGGCGGGGGGAGCGGATGGCATGAGGGGGCAGGGGGTGTGACTATGAAGGAGGGACCCGGGCAAGGGGTGTGTACCGGTCAGGGCACGGGGTTGACGTGGTACGATCATACCTCGGCTACTACGCCGGATCCCATCAGAACTCCGAAGCTAAGCGCCGGTGGGCGAGAGCAGTTATTCATTAATACGGGAAGAGCAAATACAAGCCGAATATAATGGTTTTTCCAAGACTAGGAAATTTCGACATAGCCTAAGCGCTATGAGGACGGTATATATATTTTGTAGGAAAAGGGGGAAAGAAAGGAAAGGAAGGAAAGATGAAGGAGTAAGAAGAAGTGGTAGGGAAAGGAAGAGGGTGGTAGGAAGAGAAGGGAAGGATAGACGAAGGGAACAGAAAGAGGGAGGTGGGAAGAGAAGAGGAGAGAGAGAGAGAGACTAAGGAGGAGGAAGCACCAAAGGACCAAACACGGCAGCAACCCGCACGACCGCACGGGCACAGCGTTTCAAGCACAGCCACTATTTTTTTTTTACACATATGCATCATATATATACTGCATATCAGCCACACTCTCGAAGCACCCTGTGACGTGGTGCCAAGTTCCATGCCCCGCACCCAGTTGGACTGGTGCGGGCATCCACCCGTCGTCGGACCCTCCCTAACTGCCGCACCGCATGCTGGATCATGCATTGAGCCTGCGCGCGCTGCAGTGCAACGGAGAGGCGTGTAGTGAGTCCTGCCTCAAATATCCATGCCGATCCGTCATCCCCCCCCACCTCTATCCCTCCTCCGCTGTGCTATCCTCTTTGCGCAGAGCCCCAGAAACTGACGCAGCGGCTCACTCAGAAGGCCAAAGGTCTCCGCCACGCACGCGTAAAAGTGTGGTGCCGGCTGCAGCCCCTCTAAGTGCGGCCCCCAGTGACGCAGCTTCTCCTGCACCCGCCTAGCTGCTGCCACTCCAATCTGTGTGGGGGTCGCCCGTCTCAGCTGCACGTTCCCCTCCCGCTGTGGATCCGCTATGGAGACATCCACAAGAACCATCAGACCCTGGCCAACGTCGCGGCAGGTGAGGTCTGGAATGCGGGAGGCGGTGCCTACACGGCCTGTGCGTCCGACTGGTCCCTGCTGTTGCGCTGGCTGCTGCCCTGTCTGGTCCCTTGGTGCCCCCTCTCCGATCGTCTCTCTCCCCCTTCTCCTCTCCTCCATCCACCTGTCCTCTCCCCTCCCCCTCCCTACCCTCCCCCAAACCTCCCGACCCCCCTGCTCCATCCCCTGCTGCCTCTCTCACTCCCTGGGCCTCCCCTCCCAATCCCGCTGCCCCTCCTGTACCTCCGTCCGCTCTCTGCTGCTCCCGCCCCTGCCCCGCCCCCGAGGCCGAACCTGGAGGCGCGGCGCCCTGGGCTCGCGGCCTCCACTGGCTCTCCTGCTGCTGCCTGTGCCGTCCCCCCTCCCCGTCCTGGCCCGTCTGCTCCCCCTGCCGTCCCCTCTGCCCACCTGTCCCTCGCTCCACCTGACCCCGCAGCTGGTGCCGTCCCCACTGTCCCCCGCCACCCGGCTGTCCCGCCTCGCCTCTCCGCTCCCCCGGACCCTCAGCCCGTGTCCCCTCTCCCACCACTGGCTGTCCCAGTAGTCTCGCTCGAGCCGCCTCCAACTGTGTGAACAGCGTAGAGTCCTCCACCTTTACCGCGAAGCCCGCCTCGACCGCAAAGTCTCGAAGCATGTACTTCACCGTGTCGTGGATGGTAGTGGCGACCCCGTAGCGCGGGCACCGAACCGCGTGATGAGGCACCGTCATGTCGTCAATTGCCTGTCCGCAAGAGCACTGACCTGCAAGGGCTAACTGGGGGATAGGGAGACCAAGACGAGAAGAAGAAGCCGCCTGCCACAGCGCCTCCGGGATGCGCAGTGGGTCGGCGTACGGCACCGACGTCAACCACGCCCCTGCACCTCCGCCCTGAAGGGAAGTCAAACGGGCAAGGTGCAAGGGAGAGGCGTGACGGGCACGCACGGCCTCCAAGGCATGCGCCTCCAGAAGACGGCTCGCTCCTGCAAAAAGGGAATCGGGGGAGGCAGAAGCGCAAGAGGGCCAAGGGGGAAGGAGAGAGAGAACGTCAGGTGGGAGACCCTCTAGCGCCGTCTGCAGAGCCCGGTCGATCTGCTCTGGCTCACCTAAAGCGAAGCTCTGCCGAAACACCTCGCCACACGCAGGGAGAGAACAGAGAATGGGTGCACACTGCACCCAGGAGCACACGAAACTCACCGGGGCAATGCGCGCCATGCGACGAATGCCGAAACCCCGAGACGGATGGGGAGGAAGATCTGGTCTAGGGCGGCCTCTCGGACGTCCTCGCGACAAGCCCAGGTCCCTGAAGCTAAAAGCTGCTGAAAAGTCTCTCCCAGGCGTGCGTCCCACCGTGTAAAACTGGAGATCACTGCGGGCGAAGGAGGGACGGTCCTCGACAGGTACTGCGGACGAGTGCTGACACACGCCGAAAGAAGGCGGGCAGCTGTCTGGGGCTGGCGCAACCTCGGAAGCCAAGGTAGCACCCGCCCCATCCTCTCGAGACGATCCGGGAGACTCTGCTCCACGAACGAAACGGTTGCCTACCGGTACGCCTGTCACAGTGAGCCCTCGGCGTGCGACCTCGATCCCTAGGCCCGTGAAAGCCTCCAGATCCCTGGACAGAAAGGACTCCGTCTGGTAGACGAGGCACTTGTGCGGCTGGGCTGCAAGGCCCATCTCGCCCAAGCGCCTCACGATCTCGGCAAAGTGGTTGCAGCACCCTGTCTGGGGGACCTAGCACGTACGTGTCATCGGCGTACGACCAGAGCTGGACATCCCCCTCCGCCAGAACCGGCTCCAAAGCAAGACGCTGTGTCAGAGCGTACAAGAAGGGGCTGAGAGGGTCTCCCTGGCGAGTGCCCCGCTCCGAGTGCATCGTGACCACTCCCGTGCCTGACCTGTAGTGGAGATCCGAGGGCGTCCCGTAGAAGAGGCCGATGAAGGGGATCAGACACTGAAACTCCGGGCTGGCCTGCAGCGCCTGAAACATCCTGTCTCGGTGGAAAGAGTTAAAGGCATTCGCCACGTCTAGCTGCAGGACCACCCAGTCTGGGTGGTCAGCCAGAGCGCGGCGGACGCCTCTAACTACGACCTCTGTCCCGCACGTAACCCCCACCCCAAACTGCTGTGATGCCAAGAAGACCCTCGCCATCTAGTCACGTAGCTGGAGACAAACTGCCCGAGAAAGAATGCGGACCAAAACCTCGCCGATGGCAATCGGCCGAACATCCATGTTCGACTTCCCCAGAGCCACGAGGGTGGAAGACGCTAGCAAGGAGCGCGCAGCTGGAGCGCAACGGCCTCGGAGCCACTGCTGGTACACGGCCAGGAGGAAATGGAGACTCTGAGGGAAAGCTAGGAAAGTGTCTCGCAGGTGCTCAGCGACCCAACCGGACGGTCCTCCCGAAGAGCCCCGCGGGGCTGTGAAAATCGCGCGGCGGTAAGTGATCCACCGAGAGCACGAGAGGGGACCCCTGGAAGCCAGACAGCCAAGCTGGGGTCGGCCTCTCCGCGTTGGGGTGCTTCGACTGTAGGCGCTGTATCGTCCCCTGTGTATCTGGGGCTGCCTCCGCGGACTCGAGAGCCGCGCACGCCCGTGAGGTCTCATTGCACGCTGCCAGACGAAGGCAACGTGCAATGCGGCGCTCATCTGCTGCAGAGGGATCGGTGGCGGTGCGTGACCGGTGACCTGTGCGCTGAGGAAGGGGTGTGCGACGGCCTAGTGCATCTGAGACTAGCTCAGCCCACTCACCTCGACCAAAGCGGGAGATGCGCGTTGCAATGGCAGCCGTGTGCGAGCGGTTGGGTGGCGTCGCTGGAACAAGGAAAAGAGTCGGCGCTGCAGCGAGGAGGAAGGTAGGGCCAGCAGCCTCCGGGTCCTGGGCAATGCAGACTAGGATCGCACTGAGGACGTCAAGATATCCTCCGCGGACCCTCTCCGGGACACGTCGGAGAGGGCGTGTATGGATACGCTCGGGCGAGAAATACTCTGTCCAGTCCACCGAGTCGAGCGTCTGCCACTGTGCGTCGGTGAACTGCATCCCGGTCGCACGGGGCTGTGAGAGGGAAGGGATGATCGAGGCGGGTATCATGGGCAGCCTGCGCCCTGCGAGCCGCGTCCGCAGGATGGCAGAAGGGAATGTGGTGCTGGAGCGCAGCGTCGGTTCGCGAGAGAGCTCCTGCAGGTGGGGCAACTCACGACCTGGTCAGGTGATGTCGCCGTGTCGGCGGGGTCAATCGGGGCCGTGGCGTCGGAACTGGCTGTAGAGGGGACCCCGTGGGCGGCCTAAGCTCCGAGAGGATCGCCTGGGATGAGGGGAGGAGACGACTCACCAGCCCCGCGCGGGGGGGGGTGTCAGCGAAGATAGAGGTGGTATCGCACAAGGATAGGGCCGGGCCTCGTGCCGGTACCGGTGTCGAAGCTGGGGAGGGGGGACGTGGAGGTGAGCCTGAAGTGTGTGCCGTGGTGTGCTCCTGCCCCTCGGCGGGGTGCGGTTCAAGTGACGGCTCTGCTACCCCAGGCGGAGGGGTCTCGGTAGGGGCGGATGCCTCATCCCTACTGCTGGTGACCTCCTGCGCCACGGGCTGAACGGGGGGAGGCGCCACCCCGTCTAGGTGCGAGTGACACGGCCTCAGAACCCGGTCCGTCTCCATTGGGGTCGGGAGTGACGCGCCTGGCTGAGTGGCGGGGGGGATAAAGAAGGGACAGACCGGGGTGACCTCCGCATACGTCCGGGTCTGGTCCTGTGGGACTGGAAGGGTGGGGCAGCCGGAGAGCTGCTCAGGCGGTGTATCGCCAGCAAATCTGAAATGCCAGCCCTCACCTCCTCTGGGGTCTCGAAGACCTGCCTGCCTGTAGGTGAGAGTAGGAGGGCTGGCAGGGTAGAGGGTGAGTGGGGCGTGCTGGCTGAGCGGAGCTCGGGTGTGGACCCTGCCCTAGGAGGCCCCCTTGGCCCTCCCCAATCACCATGGGTTGCGGTAGGGGGTCGTCGACATGGAAGGGATGGGAGGGATGGGAGGGAGAGTCGGTGGCGTCTGCCATGGGCGCATCCCTCAACCCGACGGCCTCCCTCCCAGTAGCGATCGCGGCCGTCGCCACCTGGGAGGGGGACACAGCACGGGAGGGGCAGAATGGGGGTGAGTGGGCTGGTCCGCTCCCATGGCCCTGTGAGGTGCAGGAGCGGGGCGGGAGTGTAGGTTTGGTGGTCGGGCTGTAGAGGTAGGGCCTGGTAGGGTTCAACGGGATGTGAGGTAGGGAGGGGCTCTTGGTGGGGGAGGGAGGGAGGGGGGAGTACGTGGGCTGACCCTCTGCCTCCTCTGCCCCTGTTCTTTCCGCCGGCGGCCAACCTGGTCGTCCGCGCCTGTTTGTGAAGGAAGGGGGGGCTGTGGGGCCAAAGGGGTGGGTGGAGGGAGGATGGGTGGTTCGCCAGGCGGGGGGTGCTCTGTGTGCATCTCCTCTCTCCTCGAAACATCCCCCTCCGTGGGAACAGATCGGGCAAGCTGTGTGTGGGGGGTGATGGCTGCCCAACGGGGCCACTCGTGGGGAACCCGGCCGGGAGAGGGGGTTGGAGGTGGGGGTCGAGGGGCTGGGCCAGTGTGGAGGTTAGAGCGAGGTACAAACGGTGGGGGGAGAGAGATTGGTGTGGGCTCTGTGGTGGCCTCTCCTGTGGGCCCCTCTACCCGGGTGCCGCCGCTCCCATGAGCCTGGGGCGCAAGCCCTTGCGGGTGGGTCTCGGCTGCCTGGGGGGGGGTGGTGTGGGGAGGGCAGCCTGTTGGGTGGGCGTGTTGGGGCTGTGCGGCGACTCGGGTGGTTTGGGTGCCTGTAGCGTGTGGGAGAGGGATTTGGCTGCAGAGATGCTTCAACCTCCGAGATGTGTGTACTACCGGGTGGGGGGGGGCCTGGTGGAGGAGGGGGTAGTGGGCCGGTAGGGGGTGGCTGGGGTGTTGGTAGGAGTCGGGGAGCATGGCTCCTCTAGGAAGACCAGAGCCCTGGCTGCTCCACGTGGTGCTCTAAGGAGCCCCTGAGGGTGGGGGCAGAGGTGTGCTGCCCTTGGGGGTGAAGGAAGGAGTGAGGGAAGGGGCGGGGAGGGGTGAGAGGTGAGAGAAGGGGTGCCCTCGGGTGACTCTGCTCTTGTCGCACCCGCGTGCTCTCCCGGTGGACCGCCTGCAACCGTGGGTCAGGCGTTGGGGACGGAGAGGGGGGCTGGCCATGGAGCAGCGTGGGGGTCGGGGAGCACGGCTCCGCCAAGAAGGCCAGGGCCTTGGCTGCCCCCCTGGACACTACCGGGACCTGAGGGTGGGGGTGGGGAAGTGGTGCTCCTGGGGGTGGGTGGCTGGAGGACGGGAGGTGAGGATGGGGGCTCCCTCGCGCGGGCTCTGTCCTCAAGGTCTCCCCCAGCCCCTCCATCGGTCCTTCTGCTAGCATGGGGACGGGCATGGGGGGTAGAGGGGGAACCTCGACGTGAGGCTGCAGGGGGGCGGGTCGGCCCTCACCGTCAAGCGTGAGGTATTGGGCCAGTGGCCCGTCAATGTGCATCACATCCTCTCCCTCATCCTCCTCTATCGCTATCACATCCCCCTTTTCAGTGCCCACCCCGGTCGGGACCCCCACTCCCCTCTCCTCCCTGTTGCCCCCTATGTCCCCCGAGCCCACCCCGCCTGCTGCCGCTTTACTGCTAGCCCCTTTTGCAGTCTCTGCCGGCCCTGCCGGCCCTGCTGTGTGTTTCCCCGCGTTTGCTGCGGCCCCTGCCGCCCCTACTGGCCGTGCTATGGCCCTCCCTGCTGCTTCAGCCGCAGCCTCACCTTTTGCCTTTGAGGCCACTGCTGTCCCCTCTCCCACTCTAGCCCCTGCCGTACCCTCTCTTGCTACAGCCGGGGCGGCACTCTCCCTCGTACCAGTCCCCGTTACCCCCTTCCCCGCTGCACCCGTAGCACCTCCCCCCATACCACCCCCCACTGTGGCCTCTGTCGCTCCTGCTGCAGTCCTTGCAGCCTCGACTGCTGCAGTCTGTAAAACCTCGCCTACCGTGATCTGATCAGCCTCACCAGCCGCGATCCCTGCAGCCTTGCCCGCCGCGGTCCCTGCAGCCTCACGTGCTGCAGTCCTCGCAGCCTCACCCGCTGCAGTCCCTGCGGCCTCACCTGCTGCAGTCTGTGCAGCCTCACCTGCTAGAATCTGCTCAACCTCACATGCTGCGGCCTCTGCAGCCTCACCGGCTGCGGCTATTTCAGCCTCACCTGCTGCGCTCCCTGCGGCCTCACCTGCCCTGGTCCCGCCTGCAGCCTTATCCGCTGTGGTCCCTACCGCCTCACCTGCTGCAGTCCCTGCGGCCTCACCTGTTGCAGTCCCTGCGGCCTCACCAGCTGTAGACTGTGCAGCCTCACCTGCTAGAGTCTGCCCAACCTTACATGATGCAGCCCTTGCAGCCTCACCTGCTGCGTCCGCCGCAGCCTCACCTGCTGCGGCCCCTGCAGTCCCGCCTGCTGCGCTCCCTGCAGCCTCGCCTGCTGCGCTCCCTGCAGCCTCGCTTGCTGCGCTCCCTGCGGCCCTCACCTGCTGCGCTCTCTGCAGCCTCACCTCGCTGCGCCCCCTACAGCCTCACCTGCTGCGCTCCCCTGCAGCCTCACCTACTGCGCTCCCTGCGGCCTCACCTGCCATGGTCCCTCCTGCAGCCTCACCCGTTGTGATCCCTGCAGCCACACCTGCTGTGGTCTGTGCGGGCCTCACCTGGTACGGGTCCCTATAGCCTCCTCTGCTGCGGTTCCCCCAGCCGACACAGCAGCAGGTTCCGTGGCCCCTACTCCTGCAAAACCTGTCTCCATGGCCTCTGCCCTTTGCCTGGCCAGAGTCACGGTCCCTGCCGACCCTTCCCGTGCAGCCCCTGCCGCCCTTTCCCGTGCAGCCGCTGCTGCCCCTTCCCTTGCAGCCTCTGCTGCCCTTTCCTCTGCAGCCTCTGCTGCCCCTTCCCCCACAACCCCCCATTGCCCTCCTTCCCGTGCAGCCTTTGCTGCCCCATCCTCTGCAGCCTCTGCTGCTCCTTCACACACAAACTCACTTACCCCTTCCCGTGCAGTGTCAGCTGCAAGTTCCCCCCTGGCTCTGCCCTCTCCCGCTTCTATGTGCTTGGGGGTGCGGGTAGGATTAAGTGTTTTCACAAGTAATCTGGTTTGCGAATGGGAGGTAGCGAGTGAGTTGGAGGATCTCTCTACTGAGCATGCATGGGTTGCCGCCCCCGCTGTCACCTGAAGGGGGGGTAGGCTGGGATGGGGGCAGCGGGGGTAGGGCGTCGGTTTTGAGCGTGCTGCTCCTCCTCGTGTATTTCCTCCAGTGGGGCTTGGCGTTCCTCTGTTCCATCCCTCTCAAGGGTACGCTTCTGGCCCCTAGGGTCAGATTGTGTGAGTGTTTTCGCTTGGTCAGGTGTGTGTTGTTTCTTCCTGACTGTTGAAGTGGGGGGAGTGGGAGAGTAGGGGGGTGGCTCGGCTGCGGGACCTCCCAGATCGCCGAGGGGCTCCCGGGTCTGCCTTTCCCCCACTCGCGGGGTGCTGGGGCATTGTTACAGAGGCAGCATGCCTGGCGGGTGGCGGTGTGAGTTGCTGGAGTTGGCTCAAGAGGGCGTCAAAGGGGGAAGGAACTCCCTGGCAGAGGCCGGGGTGCGGGGGGGTTAGCTTGGGGAAAGGGGAAAAGGGTGGGGAAAGCGGTGCGCAGTGGGTGGAAGAGAGGGTTAGAGGGGGCTGACAGTTGGAGGGGATTGGGGCCCAAGGGGGGGGCGGGCTGGGGGGCCGGTTGAGAGGGGAAGTGTTGGCGGGCTGTAGTGGAGGTGGGAGGGCGGGGGTGATTAGCGGTGGTGGTGAGCAGGGTGTGGGGACAGGTGGTGGGCCAGAGGTGGGGAGGGCAGGGCAGAATTCCACGGGAGGTGGGGGTGGGCAGGTGGAGCCAAGTGGGGAAGGAAGGGTGGGGAAACAGAGAGGAAGGGGCAAAGGGTAGTGGGTAGTCGAGTTGGCGTGAGCCTGGTAGCGGGTAATGAGAAGGTTGGGAGGCGGGGGGTTGAGAACGTGGGAGGGCAGAGAGGGCACCGAAAGGAGGCTGTGTGGTAAATGCAGAATAGGATGCGGGGCCGGGAAACAGGTGATAGAGGGAATTGGGGAATCGATGAAGGGTGATAACTGCGGATGGGCGAGCCCCAGGGGGGAGGAAATATGGAGGGTGTTGGAGAAGGGGGAGACTGGGGGAGGTAGGGTGTTGGAGGGCACAGGGGCAGGAACAGGGGGTGCAAAGGTTGGCTGGGGGAGGGAGAGGCGGTCTGGTGCCGCGGCGAAAGGCGGAGGGAGGTTGGGGACGGCACAGCCCAGGGAGCAAAAGCAAGGGGTGTAGACCTTGGCTGGGGGTAGGAACGGCGGTGTGTGTTAGGGAGAGGTAGAGGGAGGCTGGGGTAGGTGGCTGGATTGCGCAGGGAGCAGGGGCAGGGGGTGTAGAGATTGGATGGGGGTGGGAAAGGCGGCGTGGTGCCAGGTGGCGGCAGTTGGGTCCCGAAGGGCCTGGCAGGGCGGGATGCAGAGGTGCAGCCCACGCTGGATGCGGAAGTAGCTGGGGGGGAAAGGGAGGCTGGAGGGGAAGTACGGCTCGTAGAGGTGTGGGGGGCAGAGTGGGAGTGGGGAAGCAGGAGGGGGGGTGGAGGAGGGACGTTGTGACAGGGGAGTGGGGGAACATGCGGGTGATGATAGGGAGA